AGATAGATAGATAGATAGATCAACCAATTATTGTAGACCTTTATATACATAAAACATTTATACATACATTTAAATATAAAAACGAAAACCCCACCTTCTTATGACTCTTTCCCGTATTCTCTCCACACGTCGCAGTTTGGCTTCTCGCTGCCCAGGGGTCAGACAGAGGTCTGGGTCCATGTCAGAGGGCCGCTCCTCTGCCTGTTCAAGCATTTTTACATTAGAATGCAGACTAAACCACAATGACATTACCTTGAAGGATAACTATATGAACGCAGTTAATCATTTTGAATTCAGTAATGACGGATGACAATGTGACATAATCAACATTATTACTTATGCAGTGACAGTTGATCCTAATGTTCTGTTAATGGTCATGGAAACCTCAGGTTCCTTTTTTAACAGCTGAGACTTAACATTGTTATATTATCCTAATACTTCAGGATTTCTAATTGCTTATAAAAATGATTTTGAACTGATTACACATTTTTGTGATTGGTGGTGATGATGCTTTTTACACTACCCTGGCAAATCACAGTTTTAATTACTGTAATTTTAGAGTTTTGTTTTTTCATTAGAGGCCTAATAAGGAGACCTGGTGTCTAACTAACTCCTAGCATGTATGTATATTGTAGGTTAGGCAACAAACTGTAAACATTTCCTCATCTGTGAATTACAATCAGCAAGCAAAAGGAAATAATATTTGTTCAGTTTTTGATCAAACTTATTTTGTATTGGGGAAAGGTTCACTTCTGTACTTTATTTAATACTTTACTGGGTTTAATGAGGTCAGAAAAAAAGCAGAACTATATTTGAGGGAAATAATGGTTGATTTTGCAACTATTATTAGCATTTCTACACACACATCTGTAGGACCCTAAACAACGAGGAAGTAAAGCCAATGTCAACAAAATACAATGAAATGAGATGACTTCAACTATAATGTATGAGACAGTTTATGGTATGTTGTATGTCACCTTTCTGAATATGCTGTGCTTTAATCATGTGAGTTTTTGATTCATTTTCTTACCCTGATGTCCAAGCCCACACTTCCATTTCCTAAACCTGCTTGGTCTCGAACTTGACTCCTTGAAGTCTCAGGAGACCCAACGCTGCTCGCCTCTGACCGTGACTCCTTCTTGGAGGACCTCAGTATTCCCTGATGCTGCTGCTGTCTGTTTGTCTTTCTAACAGACTGATCCTGGTGCATCTCTGCAGAGGACTGGTCTTGATCAGGACTCTCTAGCAACAGATGCCTGGGTGGCTTGTTCAACATTTTTTTACTCTGCTCAGCCAATCTTTGCTGCATCTCACTAGGGATCTGCTCAGGCAGTGGGTTGTCGAGCTCAGGCGGGGGATCCTCAACAGAAACCCGTCTGGCCACGAGAGAAGATGGCAGTACAGCTGTAACAACTCGTGTCACCCTGAGAGGAAAGGGGGCCTGAGGAAATACAATAGATTAGTAAATGTATACTGGCATTAAATATAATGTAGTGACTCAGTCAGTTATACTGATGAATGATTTATTAGACCTCCTTTCTTGTCTCTGAACTTTGACTCTGGGTTTGGGCAACTGGAGCAGATATAGGGGGTTTCTTCCTATTAGTCATCCTCTCCTGATTCCTCTTCATCCGCTCAATCTGCTCCTCTTCACTCATCTTCATCTTCTAATAAAAGATATAGGCTGCTGTATGAGGTCATGGTATGATATTATGGCTGTGGTGTTTTCATCTATTTGTGCAGGGAGGGTGATTCGATGCGCATGAGTATATATAGAAATATATATAGTATACAGTATGATATATATATGTATGTATGTTATGTATGTATGTGTGTGAGCATGTGAAAAGGGGGGGGGGTTGGGTGGCACAAATGACAAGACTGAGCTACAATTCTGAGACATGAGCCTTTGCCTCCCCCTCTTGCCTAGAACCGGCACTGCAACATGCCCTAATTGCAAGGAAGATGAGAGAATCAAAGAATTGGAATTTGATTGCAATGAAGAAAAATCTTGCTTCTATATTCGGAGCGTTTTGGATCACATTGCTTACACCCAGATATAGTTAAAGAGAAAACAGGAAACTGTGAGTAATCAAACCTTGGTTGACTGGTTTGTTGTGTCTGGTGGGATCCACTTTGAACCAGGCTGAGAGTCTAAAGATGAAATGAAAATAGAGGACAGAGGAGGAGAAGGATGGAGGGAGTGAGACAGGATGGGGTGGGAGGAGAGAGTGACAGGAAGAAAGAGACACAGGAAATATGAGGGTGGAGGACAAAACAAAGCCACTAGGTACTAAAAGGCTGTTTAATATTAGATGTGTCAGAAAATATGAATCCACAGGCCATTGTATTAAAATCACGCCTTATATTTGTAATGAATATATCTGTGCTAACCGCATGTGTCTTTCTGTGCTTTCACATTAAGGAGGTCAGGCTGGCTGTTTCCTCTTCTCTGTACAGGATCAACAGTGTGGCTGTAGATTCCCTGAAACACAAGTAGAGATAAAAAAAGTAAAACATTTGTCAAAATTGATAATATTTGAGATTTGATAATGTCAATATTTCACACCTCATATGGTGACTCTGTCCAGCCGTGGCTCTCATCCCTGCTCTGGTGGCTTTCCTGTAACTCCTGGGGTAACGGTGGACGAACTGGTGGCTCTTGTTCCACATCCTGCAGGGATCATTGTCATAAGGGATATGATGAAAACTGTAAAGCTATGATAGATCTTCCATAACAGATTGATAAATATTGATACTGCATGATACAGCATTTTAAAGATATCAGTCCTTGAGAGGATAGACAACACAACTGGTCATCCCAACAGTCAAACTGCATTTTTAGAGTCCTGAATAATAACTG